GTGTGTGTTTCTTAATTTTTGTGTACCACTTTAAGTCTTTTGTGCCTTTGGAGTATCAACATTTTTCTTTTTGTGGAGACATTGATGCATTTAATAAGCATTTTGTGACACCTTATTTTTTTCTTTGTGCCTTCAATGTGTGACACTGAAATAATCATTGTTTTTGTGCCACCCTAACATAAGTTATAGTCTTAGTTTGAACCTGCCTATAAAAACCTACATTGCTCCATCAATAGCAGAAGGTAAAAACAATCAATAGCAGAGGGAGCCCATTTTCTTCCACTGTTTGTTCCAGTAATTTCTCCGACAGCCAGAGCTAAAATTAAATCAATAAAACTATATCAATTTATTTTACTTAGAATATTTTATGCAAAAATGTCAGCTACCAGCTGCTCAAATGGTCATATTTATAAGTTTCTGCATTCTGCATTCATAAAACCTGTAGACTGTATAGAAATGATGGCTGTACCCACTGGTTTTGGACTTCACATTTTAAAGGACTTCGGTCTCTCCCACGTTGCTTTTGTCGAGCCAGAAGAGTCCATATGTCAAGAAATGTGTGTTGCTAAGTTACCAGCTAAACCAAGCAAGCTGTACACAGATAATTTTTAACATAATTACAATAAAATGCTCCAGTTGGCTCCATAATGTGTAATAAGCAAACCATCACTAGATAAGTTCAATGAGGGGGCATAAATCAAGAGTAAAGTGCACAAAGGTCCAGTTCACTGTGTTGAATTAGAGTAGATAGATGGAGGTACTGACCTATGACAGCTAACTTCTATTCAGTCACCTGTCAATCAAAGCAGCCACACCCCTAACTTTAACAGTATCCAGATGGATGAGATAAATGGAGAAAACACAATAGCCAGAGTGAATATGAAGGGGTAAATTAGCTTGAAGCTCTAAATTTGAGCATTTTATAGTGGGAGTCTCTGGGATTTGCTCACATTTGGAGCTTTGAGTGGTCATTAGAAGAAATGCAGTTTTTGATACTTAATTTTTAAGCCCTGGAGTTTCCAGCTTGCTTTCAGACCCAATTTTATGAGTCAGGTTTAGTTTGGGGTATGCAAGGCCGAGTGCATGGCTTCATCATCTGTCCTCACAAAGACGGAAGAACAAATGTGTGTGTGTGTGTGACTGAGAGCACGACAGAAAAAAAGAGGTAATCTCAGATGAGACGGCGGTGTTTAATCCCAGCCCGGCTCTTTCTGTGTGTGTCAGACGGTCACATGCCATCACACAAACCAGGGATTAAACACACGCACAAGCAGACTGACCTGAAGTCTTTTCTGACCTGGTTTTTAAAATCATTTCAGGCATTTAGCTGATTGAGATTTAATTTAATCGTGCAAATAACACACCTCGCTGTGTTGTTTAACGGGCTGAGTTCAGTTGTTGCATTGAGGTGTTTGCAGTCCTCTTACAAACAGGTAAAAGACTGAGTCATTTTGAAGAGCTCACTGAATTCAAGTGTGGTGCTGTGACAGGAGCCCACTGTTAGAAAAGTCTGTGAAATTTCACAACAGTTTGTGAAGCTGCTTCCTACTTAGATAGCCCACAATCACCTGTAAGTGACATTACTGCAAAGTGGAAGCATTCAGAAATCAAAGCAACATACTCATAAAGTGGCAGACCATGCAAAGTTACAGACCGGATTCACAGAGTATATAAAAGTTGTCAAAGCTCTGCTGACTCAGTAACTGCAGATCTCCAAACCTCTGGCATCAACATCAAAACAAACAAAAATTGCATGTTAGGAGCTTCATAGCTGAGCAGCTGTAAGTGTGAAGGTCCAGTCTCTACATAGTGTAAATGAGGCCCAGAAACAAGTTTTTTCTTCTGTATTCCCAATGAATTCATGTTTTATTTATAAAGCTTGCAATTGCCAAACTTCATTAGAAGGTGGGCTCTTATGCCATGCCTTATTTCTTATCACATATATGCTGTTATAGGAGTGAATGTTCATATTCCATGGCCAGGTTGGCCTCTAGCTAAAAGCTAGTTAATCACTCAAACTCAGCAAGGATCACTGACCAGCAGTTGTGAGCACTGCAGACACACCTGTTTACCTGCATTGTAAAGGAGCGGGGCCTCACCTGTGTTTGGTGAGGTTACATTATTTAAAGTAGGCCTGAGAGAAGTCACAGGATGGGGAGTCTTTTGGAGCACAATGAGCTGTCCTCTGTTTGTTTAGGATTTACAACGAGCTTCAAGGATACCCTGGCTGCTTTTTCACAGTGCAGGAACACACTGTGTGCCTCCTTATCTGGAGGGTAGATGCAAGACCAGATATATGAAATTATGTGTGAGATTAGAGCTTCAGAACTCAGGATACCTTCTGCAACACAAGTGGATATTTTTCCCTTCCCTCCAGAAGCAAGTTTCACCACTCTGTAGCAATCACAGCTTTACTTCTGTTTCTATTTCTACTCTACTACATCTTTGACACGAAATGTTTTACTGTGTAGTCCACACCATTTATTTTAAAGCTTTGCTTACTTATTGTTTTGCAGATTAAAAATATAATACATGTATAAACATACACCCATATAAACTGAAACTACAGATCAGAGTGACGTCAAAGGAGGCTAGTGGCCTTTCCTTCCTCCCCTTAGACATGGAAGATTTTAAAACTGCCAGGAAGACCACAGATGCCATGACTCAGATGTTTCTCTTGCATTGTCCCTGTTAAGATGAAACCTAATAACAGAATCCATTAGTTGGGTGTTGATAAATTAGCTTCCTTTTTTAGTTTTTGATGCTACTCTGCCTCTGGTTTCTTCACACAATACTAGAAATCAATCATTTATAAATCTATTTATATATTCTGCTCTGTTGTTGCAAACAAAACTGTGCAGCATGTATATAAGTTAGTAAAATCACCCCCAGCGGCAACATTAACGTTAAACACCAATTAATAAATCAATAATTTAATATATAATTATTATACAACTAGAACATGTATGATTCTGCTTAATGACTGCATTTACTTTTGATAGTTTAAGAATCTTTAGTGCTAACAGTTATTCAATAAAAATGGTTTCAGGCTGTCTTTCAGTGTCAGGACTCATTTCATCCTTCTGTATGAGGCCACAGCTCCTGGATATCAGTGTTTTCTACACCAGTTCTTACTTAGACATAAAAAAACAGTTAAAAATAAAAATAAATAAATACATCCAGGGCACACAGAGAGCATTAAAAATGCATTTTATAGTTAAGAGACGATTTCCTTCCCAATAAATGCTTGTTTCCTTAAAATAAAATCATTTTTTAAATTCTTTAAATTCATTAAAAATAGTTTTTAAGCAAAAATCCATTCTATGAATGCAGGTTTATTAAGTTTTATTAAGCCAGGTTTGACCAACTTTGCGCTCCTTTAACTATTATAGTTTGTCTATCCAGAGTCTTGTAACAGTAAACCCTCCTCTTGGTTTACACTACACTGCAGCATGAAAACACTGAGAATCCCAACATTTTCTGCACTTTTTGTCGGTTAACCTGAACCAGGCGTTTCTTACCTCGGCTGCCTCTCTAACTGTTGCTTGTTATTCCCAAAGTGAGAAGAAAAGCGGTTAAAACGCGTTTAACTGTCCAGAAACGTGTGTAAATCCTTAGGTTTGCAGTTTTAAAGCGGCCCGGCTGTGCCGCTTCTGAGCGCTGCGGAGTTTCTGAGGCTTTAAGCGGCTCAGCTGTCAATCACTTAGCTGCTGGGCGCTAGGTAGCACTTAACCACGCCCATAAATGTTGTAAGACCACGCCCACGGCAGAGAACCAGAGCGCGAGAGAGACGGTTTTATACAGTACATATAACATGTTTGAAGGGTTATTTTCATACATGTGTGTCTGTGCAGCTTTTCTCTTTCTGTTTATCATTCTGTGAACTACAAGGCAATTACTTTAAGGTTATTTAATATATGACATTAATCACCATTTTCACTGTTATTTCTTTAAGAAATCCTGATTAATCAGTTCATTTTTTTTCTTCGTAAAAATGCAGAACTTACTATTTAGAGGCAAAAAAAAAAAATCCATTAGAAATATATTACACAGTGATGGGTTCACAGGGTGTCTGCTACAACAACCTAAAATGCTAAATGACATGAATAATACATAAAGAATAAAGTAAGCAAGTGTTAACAACCCTGAAAGGCTTCAGTTTATCTAATTATTAAGAAAGTGGCCATTAGCTAAATAATTAAAAACAAACAATAACAAAACAACTTAAATAAAACAAAAATAGTTCAATAAAATAACACAGATTAAATATTACAAAAATTAAATAGTTAAATGAGGTGAGGAAATTAGAAAAATGAAAATGTGAAATAAATTAAAGGAGCTCATATGTGAAAGTCTAAATCAATTGATAAATAAATTGTTATTAAAATAATTATTTCAGTGATTGATTCATAATTATTATTAAAAGTAGTCTTGTGCTCTTGTTTGTTTGCTTGTATTAATCTGGATCTTGGGTGAGTGACTGACAAATGGATTCATCATTTTGTATAGGAGCTTTAGAATTTTATATTAAATGTTAATTTTTACACCTTTGATATATTCATAGCAAAGTAGAAAAGTCCAATGAGTTGATGCAAATCGCTAAAATCTTGATACTAACTTTATCTCTATTTAAGTTGTACTCTTACGATAAAACAAATAATTAATGTTCTAAGTATGTTTTTCCCAACCATTTGGAGCCACAGCACATCACCAAACAAAAATGTCACAATATACATATTGATAGTTTTTCCCTGCACCAGGCAGTGTGGAATTGGCTCAGTTTATCCCCAGTATAGCTTTTTGGCTTTTTTCTGACCACTCATCATGCTAGGGCCTTCATCTAGGTGGGAATTTTTCCAGGTCCCAGGTCAGACTGACTACTTTTTCACTTCAAATGTTTATCTATTTCTATTACAAGCTGCTGTATGTCTATTGTGTAATTTCTTTTTCGTCTTCCTCTGTTTTACTGGCAGTTGGCAACCAATTTAATTAGAGCAGGTAATTGCACCGCCCTCTAGTGGAAGAGAATGTAATTGTTCTGCCTGTTACTCACGCCGGTCACTTAGTGTACCAATCAGGTGGAACCAGATAATCTTCCACGGCACTCTGGTCATTTCTCACAGCACACCTATGTGCCGCGGCACAGTGGTTGGGAAACACTGTTCGAGACAGATATTTATATAAGCTGGGGTGTCTGCTTGTTAAATTGTTAAAGTAGAATTATAAATATTCCAATTTAATACTGAAAGTATTAAATAAAGTCTTTTTTCCTCAAATGGAAATAATGTGAACACAAAATGTTCAACGGCACACACTCACACAAACACACACAGTGTATTCCCGTCTCACCCATGTGATTCCTTTAATCAAGCTTTTTTAATCACAGTGCAACAACAGTTTAACACTGGGTGTTTGAGGACAGCAGGAAATTGTTAATCTGAGCTGTTGAATCAATGCACACACAGGTCATCTGGATCCAAACCAGCCTACCAACCTCCTCCACATCAGCTACTTTGCAGTGGCCTCATTTAAAATAAATAAGATGGTAAAAAGTTTATTAAGTCAGAAAGCTTAATGAATGAATGTAGTAACCATGATGCCATTAACACCTCAAAAGTTATTTGACACCATAAAAGGAATATAATTATTTATTTATTTTTTTCAGTTTCTTAAAGTGTGATCTTTCTTGACAGAGCGACAGGATAATGGAGGACTAAATCAACCTATACTTGTTGCATGTTTGCATTTTTTTTC